CGGGTCTAAAAACCCGGGTTCTGGCAGTTCCGGTGTTATGATTACCTTAGAACCTTTAATGGGAGGTTCAAACTACTTAGCTTGGGCTTCGTCTGTCGAGTTGTGGTGTAAAGGTCAAGGAGTTCAAGATCATTTAACAAAAAAAGCTAGCGAAGGTGATGAAAAGGCCAAAACACTGTGGGAGAAGGTCGATGCTCAGTTATGTAGTATCCTGTGGCGATCTATTGATTCCAAGTTGATGCCCTTGTTCCGTCCATTCCAGACATGTTATTTAGTTTGGGAAAAGGCTCGTAATTTATACACTAATGACATATCTCGTTTCTATGATGTAATATCGCGAATGACAAGCTTGAAGAAACAGGAATTGGATATGTCTACTTACTTGGGACAAGTACAGGCAGTCATGGAAGAATTTGAGACGTTGATGTCAGTTTCTGCTAGTATTGAAAAGCAACAAGAGCAACGACAGAAGATGTTTCTAGTTCTTACACTAGCTGGACTCCCTAATGACCTTGATTCAGTACGTGACCAGATTTTGGCTAGTCCGGCTGTCCCCACAGTTGATGAATTATTCTCTCGATTACTTCGCCTTGCTGCAGCACCAAGTCACCCAGTGAGCTCATCACAGACACTTGACTCATCTGTCCTCGTATCCCAGTCAGTGGACAATCGGGCATCTCATACTATGGAGAATAGACGAGGAGGAGGTCGTTTTGGAAGATCTAGACCCAAGTGCTCTTATTGTCATAAACTTGGACACACTCGTGACGTGTGCTATTCTTTACATGGCCGCCCACCCAAAAATGCTTATGTTGCTCAGACTGAGACTACAGGTAACCAGGGATTTTCTTTATCTGAACGGGAGTATAATGAGTTTCTTCAGTATCGAGCAAGTAAGAAGACATCTCCACAAGTAGCCTCTGTTGCTCAGACTGATACTTCTGTTGCTGGTAATTCTTTTGCTTGTGTTTCCCAGTCTAGTACTCTTGGACAATGGGTTGTGGACTCGGCCGCTTCTGATCATATCTCTGGTAATAAATCACTTTTGTCAAATATTGCGTATTCACAGTCTCTTCCCACTGTTACTTTAGCCAATGGGTCTCAAACCAAAGCAAAAGGAGTTGGACAAGCGAATCCCTTACCCTCTGTCACTCTAGATTCCGTTCTCTATGTCCCTGGCTGTCCTTTTAATCTTGCATCTGTTAGTCGTTTGATTCGTGCCCTCCATTGTGGTATATATTTTATTGATGATTCCTTTATTATGCAGGACCGCAGTACGGGGCAGACGATTGGAACAGGACTTGAATCAGAAGGCCTGTACTACCTTAACTCACTCAATTCCTCCAAGGCATGTCTAGTTACAGATCCCCCGGACCTTATTCACAGACATTTAGGACATCCAAGCTTCAGAAGATGGTGCCTAGTTTGTCTAGTTTATCTACATTAGAGTGTGAGTCGTGTCAGCTTGGGAAACATACCCGAGCCTCATTTCCTCGTAGTATTGAGAGTCATGCAGAGTCTGTTTTTTCTTTAGTTCATTGTGATATATGGGGTCCTAGTAGAGTCAGTTCAACCTTGGGATTTCGTTATTTTGTTAGTTTCATTGATGATCATTCAAGATGTACTTGGATTTTCTTAATGAAAGATCGTTCTGAGTTGTTTTCTGTATTTCAGAATTTTTGTGCTGAAATTAAAAATCAATTTGGTGTTTCTATTCACACTTTTCGCAGTGATAATGCCTTAGAATATTTATCCTCTCAATTTCAGCAGTTTATGACTTCTCAAGGAATTATTCATCAGACCTCTTGTCCTTATAACCCTCAGCAAAATGGGGTTGCAGAGAGAAAGAATAGGCACATCATTGAGACTGCTCGCACACTTCTCATTAACTCTCATGTTCCGTTGCGTTTTTGGGGCGATGCAGTTCTCACAACTTGTTATTTAGTTAATCGGATGCCTTCTTCTCCCATCCAGAATCAGATACCGTATGCAGTAGTGTTTCCCCAATCACCCTTATACTCTGTTCCCCTTCGTGTTTTTGGGAGCACTTGTTTCGTTCATAACTTAGCCCCTGGGAAAGATAAGTTAGCTCATCGTGCTCTCAAGTGTTTCTTCCTTGGTTATTCTCGTGTTCAGAAGGGATATCGTTGTTACTCACCTGATCTTCGTAGGTACTTTATGTCCTCTAACGTCACATTTTTTGAGTCTAAACCTTTCTTTACCTCTTCTGACCATTCTGACCACCTTGATATATCTGAGATCTTACCTATACCGACCTTTAAGGAGTCTACTATAGCTCCTCCTTCACCTTCCTTCACAGAAGTCTTCCCCGAGTCTACTAGAGCTCCTTCTTCACCTTTCGCTATAGAAGTCTTACCCATTCCAACCGTTGAGGAATCTAGTGTGGCTCCTCCTAGACTCCCTGTCACAGGAACCCACTCTTGACATATCATTGTCGTTCGCACCCAGCATCAGGCTCCAGCTGATTCACGTCCTGCACCTGACCCTGCTCCTGTTGCGGACTTGTCTCTTCCTAGTACACCGATTGCACTTCGGAAAGGTATACGGACCACCCTTAATCCTAATCCCCATTATGTCGGTTTGAGTTATCATCGTTTGTCATCACCCTATTATGCTTTTCTATCTTCTTTGTCCTCTGTTTCCATCCCTAAGTCTATAGGTGAAGCATTGTCTCATCCAGGATGGCGACAGGCTATGATTGACGAGATGTCTGTTTTACATACGAGTGGTACTTGGGAGCTCGTCCCTCTTCCTTCAGGTAAATCTACTTTTGGTTGTCGTTGGGTGTATGCAGTCAAGGTTGGTCCGGATGGTAAGGTTGATCGTCTTAAGTCTCGTCTTGTTGCCAAGGGATATACTCAGATATTTGGGCTCGATTACAGTGATACCTTCTCTCCCGTGGCTAAGATAGCATCAGTCCACCTTTTTCTATCCATGGTTGTTGTTCGCCATTGGCCCCTCTATCAGCTGGACATTAAGAATGTTTTTTTACACGGTGACCTTGAGGATGAAGTTTATATGGAGCAACCACCTGGATTTGTTGCTTAGGGGGAGTCTCGTGGCCTTGTATGTCGCTTGCGCCGGTCACTTTATGGTCTAAAGCAGTCTTCTCGAGCCTGGTTTGGTAAGTTCAGCACAGTTATCCAGGAATTTGGCATGATTCGGAGTGAAGCTGATCACTCTGTATTCTATCGGCATTCTGCTTCGAGTCTCTGTAGTTATCTGGTGGTCTATGTTGAGACATTGTTATTACCGGCAATGACCAGGATGGTATTACTAAATTGAAGCAACATCTCTTTCAACACTTTCAGACTAAGGATCTGGGCAAACTAAAGTATTTTCTGGGTATTGAGGTCGCTCAGTCTAGCTCAGGTGTTGTGATCTCACAACGAAAGTATGCCTTAGATATTCTTGAGGAGACAGGAATGACAGGTTGTAGACCTGTTGACACTCTGATGGATCCGAATTCTAAACTTCTGCCAGGACAGGGGGAGCCTCTTAGCGATCCTGCAAGATATAGATGGTTGGTTGGTAAATTAAATTACCTTACAGTGACAAGACCTGACATTTGCTTTTCTGTGAGTGTTGTGAGTCAGTTTATGGATTCTCCGTGTGATAGTCATTGGGATGCAGTTGTTCGCATTCTTCGATATATAAAATCAGCTCCAGGCAAAGGTTTATTGTTTGAGGATCGAGGCTATGAGCAGATCGTTGGATACTCAGATGCTGATTGGGCAGGATCACCTTCTGATAGACGTTCTACGTCTGGATATTGTGTCTTAGTAGGAGGAAATTTGGTGTCCTGGAAGAGCAAGAAACAGAATCTGGTTGCTCGGTCTAGTGCAGAAGCAGAATATCGAGCGATGGCTATGGCGACATGTGAGCTAATTTGGATCAAACAGTTGCTCAAGGAGTTGAAATTTGGTGAGATTAGTCAGATGGGACTTGTGTGTGATAATCAAGCTGCTCTTCATATTGCGTCAAATCCAGTGTTCCATGAGAGAACTAAACACATTGAGATTGACTGTCACTTTGTTAGAGAAAAGATACTCTCGGTAGATATTGCTACAAAGTTTGTGAAGTCGAATGATCAGCTTGCAGATATTTTCACCAAGTCCCTCACTGGTCATCGTATTAACTACATATGTAACAAGCTCGGTACATATGATTTATATGCACCAGCTTGAGGGGGAGTGTTAGAATAGTTATGTAAATAGGAGTAAATAATCCTAATCCAATATGTATTAGGAGTAGGACATGTTATGTGTGTATATATAGGGCTCATTGTATCGTGTTAAACACAAGTCAATAATATCAATAATATTTTCTCCCGTGCTTTCTCACAACCTATATTTCCAGATTTTGGAGAAATGAAAAGAAACATGTTTTATTTTGTTTCTAGTTTTTTTCTTACTCAGCTTTTAGTAAATGTTGTTTCAATATTCTATGATAGTTCATGTATCAAGGAAATTTCCTCCAACCTTCTCAGAAACAGCATGGCAGGATATTATCCTGACTAGAAAACACCTGCACTGAGATTAAAGTTGATTTGTCTTCATTCAATAATTTTCATTGAGTTTAACTTCTATACATTACTAACATAAAATAATTTTTATACTTTTAGAATACCTACTGGTGGGATTTGTGAACCGAAAAATAAAGCATATCACCTCGTTATAACATGTTAAAATACACTGATAGTGTAAAACTTCTTTACATCATCAGTGTATTTAAATTAAATCGATTTGATTAAGCGCTCCCAAAACATCTCTATCTACTGTCAAACATATAAAATGTTTGTTTATATGTTGTATAGGTGTGGGATTAATAAATACGCAGAATAAACCATGCCACTTTTTCACTAAAGCAATAAATTATTCTTTTCAGCTTTTGACTATTTGATAAGCTGTTCCTGTGCAGAAGCTTGAATCTTAAATTAAACAAGATCATGATCTCCATGATATCCTTCACACACAAGAAATGGTGTGGACACTTGGAACAAATTCCTTAGATAGAACCTATGTGGATTGCTGCAGAAAGTCAACCTAAAACTAACAGAAGGCCAAAATAATAGTAATAATTTATCAACATGTTGATGACTAGCTGATTATATGGCCTAATGAGTCATTTTTAGTTATTTATATATATGTATATATAGCTATAGAGATTATTAACATGATCCACATAGAAATTTTTAAGACAGAAATTACAAACAGTTCATCAGTTTTTGCTGAAAATGTATGTAACAAGGCCTCTTTCTTACTATCAACAGAATCCTGAGGCTCTTTCATTACCTCCTGACGGTCCAAATTCAGGTTACTTAGTGGTTCAAGATGAGGAATCTGAAACATATTGTTGTTTTGGACTTTGCAAAAATCGTGATCTCATGGACCTGCCTTTCCCTCAGAACAAGAATCTAACTGTTCGATACGAAACTAGTGATGGTGAGCACAAGATTATTCTCAAGGAAGATGTAATGTTCATTCCAGTTCTTAATAAACCACTGTCCTCCAATCAATATTTTGCTATCAAGCCTCATGGAAAGAGCAAAGGGTATGTTACTGTATCTACACATTTAATTTTGTGTGACAGTCTAATTGTTTGTTTTGATCGGCACGAGCTAGTAGTAGCATAAGTATGAATCTTCTCATTCCTGTCTGTAATTTAGAAGAAATCAGCTTACGAAGTTCAGCCTCATTATTGGGTCTTAGCCTTTCATTTATTGGAGTGCATAACAATTTATTATGGCAAAACTCATTTTCTGGTTTTATATCTTTTCCTGGATAAATCAAGGTCAAGGGAGGATCTACATGGTCCAAAGGGAGTTGAATTAATCACTTTCGTAAGAAAATTATACCGTGCAAATAGGGGTAAAACCAACTTCTTTTGCATATAGTTTAATATTTATATAACTATATGTATGTTTATGTGTATTATAACATCCCCTTTTAGTATAGTGGCAAAGGCGACCCAAAAAATGCTTTAGGCTGAAGGTTTGGATCTCAAGTTCGACATTCTTGAAGTTTTTGAATTCCGTAGATAGAGTTTCTGTTTTGGCCATTGTGACCAAGGTAATGAATCTTACAATTCCCAAAATGGCCTTTTTGCAGAAAAGCATTCGTGTGTTCAAAGGAGGAAGACAAACAAAACTGCTGTTTCTGCCGATGTATACGAGATGTTAGACCGAAGCCATTAGATCCAGATGAGGTATATCAGCAGTATGAGATCTGTCTATATGTTACAAGTTGCAGTGCCAAAGGTAGCTTTTTTGCTAAATCTCTTGCACCTGATGGTTTTCCACCGCGTTTTCTAAGGCGAAAAGGTTGGCATCTTTGTGCCAAAACTCCTAAAAATTATGAACTAAGTGATGATGCTCTAGGCCTCAATGCTGAGTTGAGACAACAACTTCCAGAGTTAAATCTCACACCATCTTGTAAAAGTTCTGAAGCTGTTGTTGTAGGGAAATGGTATTGTCCGTTCATGTTTATCAAAGATGGAACAGTCAAAGTGCAAATGGAGAGATCAATGTTCTATGAAATGACACTTGAACAGAAATGGGAGCCGTTTTTCACTTGTCAAAATGACTACAAGAATGAAGGGAATTCAGTACTTGTGGATGTTGTTCTTGACACAGAAATTGTCCTTATTGCTGAAAGTAAAGCAAAATGGGATGAAACAAATGTTGTTGAGGGAGTAATATGGTTTAGAAGCTATGGTAAAAATGGAAAAGAAATACCTAGTGTAGGACTGAGACAAGAAATAGTACAAAGAATGAAGTGGGAACAAGAAAGAGGTGGATGGCAAAATCAAGGAAGAATTAAACAAGTTCAACAATACAGAGAAAATGGTAGTAAATGGAAGAAATTCAGTTTCTATGTCTTGATTGAAAGGTTTGTGTTGAGGAGAATGGATAAAAGCGTGGTGATGACTTATGATTTCAAGCACATTGACAAGCTTAAGAGCATATGGGAGTAATGTTAGGTGGCGAACACAAAATTTTGCATAAGTACTGTCGACTTGTTATGACAAATCGACTTGTACAAGTTTAGATATCGGTTTGTTATCACAACTCAACTTGTACAAGACAGCCCACCCATCGTGACATGCACAGAACCGTAGCATGGATAACGCATGTATATATTATGTATAATTTTTTTCTAAACGGTGTTGAATGGCACCTTTTGCTCAAGGATGTTTTTGATGTTTCTGCGTGCATGTGTGACAATATCTTGGATCCACTGTGTCAAATTTTGATAAAAGACATGGGCATAACATTCTACTCTAGCCTATTCTTCCACTTCAGGTTGTTTAGTTGTATTAAACCATTTGATTATCTGTCCTATATAAGTGACTAGAACATGAAAAATTGAAGACAAAGCTTAGCTGATGGTAGTAACATGCCATTGTTTGTTGCAGCTAGTGAAATTAGAATTTTTTTTACATAATAGTGCAGAGGATTAGGCTTTTTTGAACTGTCCTTGACAATCAGATCAATATGCTTTGACATTTAGCATAGTGAATTGTCCTAAACTCCAATGAAAGAGCATTTATCAAACTTTCAATTTGACAACAAAATTGCTGTTTATGCCATATTCCAAGTCATTATGCAGAAAAATACATGAAGAAAAAATTACCAAGGAAAGAACTACCTAAAGAAAATCAGTACTTAACTGAAACGTCATTTCTTCCGATTGATGCACCCCCTTAACTTTACAAAATTCATGTCTTGTTTACCCCAAACAAGGCAACCAAAGTAACCTTTTTTCAATCAAAATGCACTTCTTGAAAGTAAACATGCCTGATTTGCAGGCCAACATTTTGCTCCGTCGTAGTTCATTCTATTCACACAAGTGCAGAATGAAATGGATAGAAGAAAATACAGCTCGGAACTTTGCAATGCAAGTAATTTCAAGAATGTTAAAATGGACGACATATGCTTATGTAGGCAAATTTATCGTTCTACCAGAATTGAAAAGCATCCACAAAACTATACCAGAAACAGTGAAGCAAAACATCATATCCTGGACGAAGTAAGACAAAACAAACACTACTAAACTATGTCAGTCTTCGGATAAACATTTGAGACATGAAAGTTTTCCCCCATGACAGTCTTGAGTGAGTAAAAACTTGGAATGTATCTAGTCGCTGCAGTGCCATTATCATAAACATTGACCATCCTAAATTTCTTCTCCATTGGGTTGTAAGAAATTAGCTGTGTGGCACGTTCGCTTTGCATCAAAATTTCTCCATCTTTCCAAATAATGATTGGCAGAAAGTTAGTCTGAGGGATATCAGGCGGAATAGAATCCATCAAAATGCGATCTTTAGTCCAAGATTCAGCAATTCCATATTCTCTCATCCACCATACATCAACATGCTGAAAATAGTTATTATCAGACAAACACAAACAGTTCCCCAATTCTACTATCCTCAAGCAAAAGGATGGAGTTTCCAAACCAGGTGGAGCTGGCACAGGCTTCACCTCTTCTGTCCTAATATTAAAGGAGTAAATGCTAGCACTTTTTTTAGTATTTTCATCATCTAGCCAATGAAGAGCACCATTTACATTAACACTACCACGAAACGATCCACATAGAGGGTACGGAGCTTTGCCCGCATTTCTCCATTTCTCATCAACTCCTAGAGTATAAACCTCCAATTCAGATACTTCAGGACGACCACGAAACTTCCTAACTACTGATCTCAATACTTTATACTGTCCACATCCTTCACTAAAGCAAAAAGCATAAGCAACACTACGAACTCTTTTCTCATATGCAGGCAATTTAAGCTTCAAATACTCACCCAAAAGTGGATTGCTAATGTAAAGTGAGTGATTTTCATCATACTTATCACTATCCATCAAACATATGAACCCATTACACGAACCGATTATTTCCAATTTTGGTTCATAAAAAAGACCACCAATTTTTGGTTTCAGTGGAGGGAGGTTAAACTTAGGAATCAACATAACAGGCCTATTTCGAGGGCGAGAGTAATATTCATAACCAGCTTTAAGTTCAAGAATTGCAGCGTTAAAGCAATCAACCGAAAGCAAAATGCAAGGAAAATTAAGTGATCTTGTTTGATACATGGGAACAAATAAAGGGTCAGAAGTTATAAGATTATACCAACGTTTGCAAACGCTCTTAGCGCGGAAAATGGGTTTGATTGGCAATCTTGAAAGGATTTCCACCATGATCGACCTTGGTAGGTCCATAATTGTGATTTCATAAGCTCTTCTTCTTTTGCAATCACAATCAGATTTGACAAATACATATTTTTTAACGATCTTTTGTTTTTGGTTCTTGAAATTGCTTAGTATTGAGTTTGAGACAGTGATAGGGACATCAAAAAGCTTGGTCACATTCTTGGCTTCCATTTTTTCTCTGGTTTTCTTTTTCAGTGAAGAAGTCGCTATTTTTAAGGGCTTTGGCTGTGGGTAGTTTTGGCGGGGAAAATGACTGGAATTGGCGGGAGTAATAAACAAATATTTTCCATAGACTACATTTATTAATATGCTTGGATAATAGTACCTTTTGTCCTTCAATTAGTAATGAATTCTGATTTAGGTCCTTAGTGATATATGACAACATATATATATATATATATATATGTTGGACTTTAAGCCATTGGGCTTTAAAGTAGAAGAAGTGTGAATTGGAAATGGAGGGAAAAATGAAAATTTGAAGAAGTGAACTTTTGTCTTGCACTTTGTCCTTCATTGGTGAGGGACAATCACATTTGTGTGCTTATATATAGAATCACTTCTTAAAGCTCTTAAAAGGAGTTGAAGAGAATGAACTCTCGCGCTGTCGTCGTCGCTCGCTCGACTTCGGCTTCGGCTTCGGATTTGACAAATGATCGATAAGATTATTTTTTGGACATACACCAGAACCCTGCTGAAAGATTCAGAGGGACTCTCTGGCTGCGGTTCTGCCGTAACCGCGGTAGAACCGCGGCAGGCAGCGTATTCTTCTGAAAAGGCACATTTTCCAGACACCTCTTCTGATAATTGCCTATAAATTCTGAGGCAAGGCTCCATTTTCTACACACGAAAAACACTCCAGAACTTCTTTCTTTTTGAATATACTGCATCCTATTTCGCAATCTCTCTCTCTCCAATCCGTAAGTGTGATTTTGCTCCGTTCTTTGAGTTCGTTGGGATCCTGCAGTTTGTATTGCCACTGTTGCAGGAAGGTTTATTCCGTTTTATCCTGGGAGGATTTAATCCATTACCTTGGCAACTTGTGAGGGGGTTAAAATTCCTTAAGGACACACAAGAAACTTGTGGACTCGGAATATTTCTGCTTCTCTACTATTTTTCCAGATTTCTTTAATTCTTCTAACAGTTTTATTTTCCTGATTTTGTGTTTTAACACAGTAACGCTCACAAGCTTAAGGAATTTTATAAACTAACGTTTCTGTGTTGAAACATATATTAAACTGTTATTCATATTTTGTATACTGTTTTGGAGACTAAAGCCTTCGTGCTTTCTACTCCAATAATTGTTCTGTCCGGTTTAAAGTATATAAAAGCTTTACCGGAATAATAAACGTACGGGTTTGAAGTATATAAAAACTTCACCATTGTTACGTGTTGTATGTTTGGTTTGGTATTCAGTTTGAAAATATCAAAACTTCACTGATTTAACCAAGTTCTGTTTTGTTTCCAACTTTACAGAAAAAATGATGAATAAAAACCAAACTAATGGAAATGTTGCGGGAACGGGTGCTACTGTTAAAAATGTGGCTGCCTCGTCAAGCCGTTCAACTCCTGCTCATGCTATGGCACCAGCAGAAAAACCCGGAAAGTTTTCCGGAATAAAGAAGGCTTCTGGACCAAAGAATTACCCAAGCAAGAAAAATTTCAAGGGTAATTGCCACAACTGTGGAAAACCTGGGCATAAGGCCGTGGATTGTCGTGCACCAAAGAATGATGTACAAAAGAAAAAGAAGAAGAAAAATCAAGCAAACATGGTTGAAAATGTTGAAGACATGGAGGACTTGTGTTGCCATGTTGTCTGAATGCAACTTGGAAGGAAATCCTAAAGAATGGTGGATAGATTCTGGAGCCACCTGCCATGTTTGTGCTAACAAGGAGTTATTTTCTTCTTATGCTCCCGCAGGACCCGACGAGACAATTTTCATGGGAAATTCGTCTACAGCCAAAATTGAAGGAGTTGGCAAGATTGCGTTGAAGATGGCGTCGGGAAAAATAGTGACTCTAAACCAAGTCCTCCATGTTCCAGAAATTCGCAAGAATCTTGTGTCTACCTCACTTCTTGTCAAGAATGGTTTCAAATGTATTTTTGTTTCCAATAGTGTTGTACTGAGTAAGAATGATATGTATGTAGGAAAAGGTTACCTGAATGAGGGCCTTTTTAAGCTAAATGTAATAGCAGTTCCTATCAATAAAGTGAATGCTTCTTCTTACTTGCTTGATTTATGGCATTCGCGTTTAGGTCACGTAAATTTCAAAACATTGCGAAAGATCATAAATCTAGAAGTATTGCCAAAATTTGATTGCATTAATTCCAAATGTCAAATATGTGTGGAATCAAAGTATGCTAAGCATCCTTATAAGTCCGTTGAAAGGAATTCAAGTCCTTTAGACTTAATTCACACAGATATTTGCGACATGAAGTCAACACCATCTCGCAGTGGGAAAAAGTATTTTATTACTTTTATTGACGATAGCACGAGATACTGCTATGTTTATTTACTTAATAGTAAAGATGAGGCAATTGATGCTTTCAGGCAATACAAGAGTGAAGTTGAAACGCAACTAAACAAAAAGATCAAAATGGTAAGAAGTGATAGGGGTGACGAATTTGAATCTCCTTTTGAAGAAATATGTTTGGGAAATGGCATTATTCACCAAACAACTGCCCCTTACTCTCCACAATCTAATGGAATTGCGGAGAGGAAGAATCGAACGTTGAAGGAGATGATGAATGCATTGCTAATAAGTTCTGGCTTACCACATAACTTGTGGGGGGAAGCTATACTTACAGCTAACCGAATAATCAACCGTGTACCTCATAGTAAAACACAATCCATTCCTTATGAGAAGTGGAAAGGAAGGAAGCCTAGCTTGAAATACTTCAAAGTATGGGGGTGTTTAGCTAAGGTACAAGTTCCTAAACCTAAAAGGGTTAAGATAGGTCCAAAAACGGTTGATT